AGTCTCAGTTCGCGATTCTAAAAAATGTCTTGGCAGTCAATCAGGTCAGTTCACTACCTCCAGACTGACAGTTTGAACCGCAAAGATGAACTGACAACTGACTGATTGACTGATAGCAACTCTGCCTCAGAGTCCTCCAGACCTCATGAATCCTGGTACTCTGATGTAAAAATTTGGTCGAACGCCGGAACCAGCCAGCATCGAAGTACCGACCCTGAGGGTCCAGGCAGTTCAATTCCCACCTCTCCCTCTCTTCCAGATCAAGCGCGTGCCATAACGGCATCAAACCTCGAGCTCTGGATAGCGCTAGTAAGATGGGTGTCGTAGCTATATCCCATGGGACTGCTTGTGGCGTTGAGGATGAGGATGAGGATGAGGATGAGGATGAGGATGAGGATGGAGATTTATGCGATTTGGTAGAGGGTGAAGATGGTGTGGTGGGTTGCGGTGGATCCCATTGGTCCACACAAATTCTCAACAACGCATCATCCAAGATCCAATAGAGACTCTCGCGTTGGCTGTGTAAGAATCGCTCCAATCTGACCTCTTTGTGTCTTAGAACATTCACACTCCAATCTACCAGTAGGCATGCCGCATGTGCCCACGACGCAGGCTCAACGTCCACTAGCTTGCGCACAGTCGTGGCGAATTCGCGGGTGCGATAGAAGAGCGTTTGGTAGAGGCGCGGGATCGTAGAGAGACCTTCGAGATCGTCTAATATGGTAGAGTTCATACAGCGAATGTCGCGTTCGAGTTCGCTGGAGCCAACCACGAAAAGTGGATATGTAGTAGATTGACGGTCTCTATCCCTTTTCCAATAAGGAGCGAGACCTGGGCCTTGTGGGAGCTCAGTATCGGACGGTAGGATATTTTCAGGTATCATTGTTGAGGTTGTAAACGTAACGATAACGAAAGTAATGCTCGTGTGATGGGATCTATCGCCTGGGGTATGACGTCATCTAGTCTGGGCTCGGAATACTCCTGAGACTGAGCCGAACCCATAACCCTGACGGCCAAACAATGCAGTGGCCAGAATAATGTATGGGACATGGATGAACGACTCAGAGAGAGCATGAAGGACTCTCCACGTGGGTGGGTCGCTCTACCCCACTCTACACGCTAGCGCTCTCCGACCCCGAAAGGCCGGTGCTTCTGGATGTGTCCCCTCCATCATTTGTCCACCCTTTCTCCGCAGCATTCTTCCAGAACAAGCGTATCATTTGACGATCGACTGTACAGTAAGGGTCTCGGTACCCTTCTCCCACAGACCTAAGGAATCAAGATGCTACTCTCAGCCTCCAGGTCCTGTATGATGGTAAATCGCGCTCGCTACCCTTGCTGACCATAGCGAACGATGACCGCTGTATGCCCGACCAAACACCTGCTGGCGAATCTTCTGCGACTGTGAGAATAATCAATGGGTTTTATAGTGTCTGTGTGGAAATGTTGAGTAGGTTTGTTCAGCATGAAATAGTGGGAACACTTCTCTTGTCTTCAATATCATGACTGTATTTCGTAGTCATCAAAGACCGTTCTATGGTACTGTTCCACCTTCCTAAATATTACCGATATTCCCTTCTTCGCGAGAAAAATTGAGGACGTGTATAAATACATACTCGTTCCCTCAAGACCTTCCTCACCACACCATCAATCTTCCCAGCCGCAAACTCAAAGTCCGAGTCAGATATAGTAAGACATATCTTTAACCATCTCGATTAGGCATCTATACCTTCCAAAACGTATGTGGCTATAAGCACAATTGTGAAAGACGTAGGCTAATCTAAGATAGGTCCACGTACAAAAGGCCAACCAAGATGTTGGACTTTTTCTTCTCCACCACCACCATGTTCCTCTTCGTCGGTGCGGCCTTCTCTGCTGTCTTGCCCTCTGCCGCCAAGTCCGATATCATCTTCGCCCCTATCGTTCCCACTTTTATGCCCCGTTCCGATGCTCTCTGTCTCTCCCGGGGTAACAGCACCGCTCCGGAGCCGTCTTCCAACTCTCTTTCGGGCTTCGCAGAGGACGCCAAGTACAACTCGTTGGCCTTGTCTGCCCCCGTCCCCACCGGCTACGCTCTCGCCATGAGCAACGCAAACTGTGCCTTCTCGTCCACCAAGTACATGCTGTATGTTCAACTAAAATCATACGGTCCGGAGACATGTGCCGAACTCTGCAACAAGTATGAAGGTTGTGACTCCTGTAAGTTATGTCTCCTGACACTTTCATATAGCCCTGCTAACCTTCACCTTTCTATGCAGTCAACATTTACATCCAGCGCGATCCGTCCGTAGTTCCTGGACCTGCTTGCCCCAATCCTACTCCCATCTTTGTCACCAAGTGTGCCCTCTATTCAGAGCCTGAACAGCTTTCTTCATGCACAAATTTCGGTCAGCACGTTGGCCCAGTCGATGCTGACGGTGAAGCTTTCAAGATTGCTATGCGTGGCTCTAATGGTAAGATCCTCATACGTTCATATACGAACCTATCCATATTAATGCATAAACCTAGCATACAAGAAAGTTTCCCCAGTTAGCGAGGTCTTCGTAACTGTCACAAAGACTGAGACCATTTTTACTAGCAACCAGAAGGACCGGAGGACTCTGTTTGAATACCCTACTCCCTCCGAGTATGATGCCACTACTACTGTTAGGATCCCCAAGACTACCCCTGAGTATGTGCATGTTGGCCCTGAGACCGTTATTACTCCAGCTGGTACTATCACAACGACCATCACCCTATCTGGTCCTGTCGCTACCACCACCATCATCACCCTACCTCGTCCTGTCGTTACCACTACGACCACTACCACCCTCGACAGCCCCGATCCCACTAGCACTACCACGACCACTATCAATTATCCCGGCCCCATGGTGACCACCACCTACGCTGGCCCTGATAGTACAGTTACCGTCTACGGCAAGCGAGACATCGCCGCCGCCCATTTCAAAGGCAAAGAAGAAGGAGAAGAGCGTTGGAATGCTTGGACCAAGGAGTGGAGGCCTGCGCCACATTGCTGCGATATCACGACCACCGCCACTCGTATTGGCACCCGCCGCCCCCATCACGTTCTTCCAAGCTACGTCCCTCGTAGTGTTATTGATCCAGAAGTTATTATGGTGTACCCTACTCCTACCACTTTTTCTGGTGGGAGTAGGACCTGGACATTGGAATTCGCTGGTCGTACTTCAACCATTACCACAACACTTACCCACGAATGGCAGCCCGCCACCATCGAAGCTGGTACTTACACTGCGACCCTTAGTTCTATCGATCGTTCCAAGCGCCCTAGCGCCACTGCGACAGATGCCAGTGACATGATTAAGGATAGGCCTGAGCCTATGAAGACGATCACTCTTGATGACTCGTACACGTACACTGAACCTACCGATGTACCTATGAAGACGATTACGCTTCGGGCTTAGAGTTATACGGTATGAATATCGTTTATACATCGGGGTTCTTGTGCTTCTGGGAATATATCTAGACTTAGCATAGAGTCCAGCGTTATTGCGCAGTTGCGCAGAACAGCGGAGGCATAGCACATGGCTTGGTTCCAGACCATATTTTCAATATAGTCACCTAGCAATGAAACCTCGTTTTAATTACATCCATTCCTTGAAATGTACATCTGATGTCAAGTTGGCAGCAGTTGTGCATCGAGCAAAGACGAACTTGAAGTGAGAAGTCAAGCATAAAGCCCCTGTGCACAAAGGATGATGGCTTTCCTACCATGATCATGCTTCCATTTTCTACCATGTACTCAAAATCTTTGAAAGATACTAAATAGATGGCACATTTGATGAACCAGCACCAATACACACCCACCTTCCAACCCCCCCTCACCTCTTCCTCTTCCTCTTGCCGCCATTTCCCCCCTTATTCTTCTTCTTTTTGTTCTTCTTCGCGTTCTCTCTAGCCAGCTCACACTCCTCACAAAACCATTTCCCCTCGGGAATCGTCGCCGCCGTCAACCCTACGCAGACATAGTGGAACCACTCAGCATTGCAACTCGGCCGATCGCAAGCGATCATATCGTTGTCTGCCGGGGTACCGCAGATGCAGTACTCCGGAGTGTCTTCGGAGACGGGAGATTGGGAGGATGTAGGAGTCTGCTTCGACTTCTTCCGAGGCGGGATGTCAATTTCGTCAGACTTACGCTTCAAGGGAGAAGCGGCAGCAGGCGCAGGCGTTCCGTCATCTTCACTTAGGAAGACACCCGGAATATGGTCCGGAATGTACTCTTGCTGCTCGGTCTCATCCTCCTTCTCCTCATCCCCAGCTGCTCCATCGTCCGCCTGCGACAGCTCCACCACTTTCTCCCTCTCTCTTTCCTTCTCCTTCTCTTGCTGCTCCGCAACCCCTTCAATCACCTCTTCGACCTCCTCACCATTTGCTCGGCGTCGCTCCATCTCCTCCTCACGCTCTTGCTGCATGATCATCGCGACCTTGCACTCTCCACAAGTCCACTCCGTATCCTCCGCGCCAAACTCAACGCCAGCGCACGGCAAGTGGAACCATCGCGTCTTACACAGCTCATGCTGGGCACACTCAACCATAGGCCCAGTGCGGTACGGCGCATCTTCACAGATGCAGATGCGTGGCGGAACGGGGGCATCAGGTGCACATTTAGGACAGAGCCATGAAGATGCATTTTCGGGACGGTGGAAGAGGCCCACGCAACGGAGGTGGTAATATCGGGGGCGGCACTTCTTGTTTGCGCAGCCGATGATTGGGGTGAGGTAGATTTTAGAAGAAGGTGTGGTGCAGATGCAGATACTGAGTTTCTGGTGGCAAGCGCCAGCGCTTGTTGGGGGAGTTGGAGAATGGAAATGGGAATGAGATGGCGCAGTGGGCGCGGTAATGGTTGGGTCCATGATTATTATGGGATTAAGTGTGTTGAAGGTGTAGGTAGTAGAGTGTCTGGAAATTACGATTGTGTTGTATTGGAGATTCTGAGTTAAGGTTGTTGAGGGACAGTTGGGGAGATCAAGACGTGAAGATATACCAGCAGCGCACTGCCGTTGTTAGAGTAAGTGACACAGATCTATTGTACCCGTAGAAACAACGACCAGGTGAGCGCGTCGAGAATAGCGGGGAGACAATAGTGAGACGACAATGGCACGACAATGGAAGTAAGGTGAGAGTAGACTTCTTGGCACGCAGTGTGGTACAAATCTTGTTGTATATGCAGGGATCGATACGTGAGTGTTTGCGATAGTTGCAAATACGTCAACAACACGATGCGCCTAGTACTGTATCAAAACGGAAATCCAGTGCGTTCTCATGCGAGTCATACCTCGCGACGCAAAGCTTTCTACTCCCCGTGACCGACCACCTGCCTTCTCCCATGCACACCTTCCCACTGCTCCCAGAGACCCTTCCAGGCGTCTCTCTCACTCCTGCCTAAACCAGCGAACATGGCATCGAGCCCCTCTCTATGCAAGCTAGCTGTACCCAACACTTCCCAGATGCCCGGCATCAACTTCTCCCTCACCCCCTGATCCAATCTTCCATTGAGCTGGTAGCGGCAGAAAGATGCGAGAAGCGGGTAAAGGAAGTTGCTCGCTCGGTCACGAGCCGCTTTGACGGGGTCATTGAGGTCTTTGGACTTGCGGGATTGATGGTGTTGATGCGCCTTCGTGATGGATGATTGAGGCGGATTGCAAAGAGTAGACAAGAGACGTGTGAATTGCGCTGCATTCGTAGGTGTTAGGCGAACGGGCTCAGTAGCGGTGACTGCGCGTAGCCATGATGGTAGAGCGCCGCTGCGACTAGCATTTGGAATGAATAGGCAAAATAGTAGGCCTTGTAGAAGGGGTGGGAGTAGGTGGAAACGTCCACCTAGGCGACCTCGATGTACAAGTAGGGTCAGGCGACTCGTCTGGCAGAGCCTTGAAAAGATCTCAGGAGCATACTGAGATGACAGTGCGGGACTGCTTCGTGACGTGAGCTTGACAAGCACGCTGTAGACGCATTCGATGCTGTGTTGTGATGCAAGCGAGGGTTTGTCGTTCAGGATTGTGTCAATGCAGTTGAGCAGAGCGTTGAAAGACTCGAAATCAGGACTCTCGGTGAGCAAAACGCAGATCCTAGGCAACAGTGCGAGCTGCTTTTGTCTCATCTCTGCGTTAGATTCTAGCTGATCGTCCATAGTGTCGATGAGATCACCGAGGATACGGTACGAGGCAGCCAGGTTTGGCTGTTTCTGATCTACAACCAGTGTTGTGATAAGATCCAACTTCTCGTAGAAAGGAAGCGGTTCGAGTGTGGTCTTGAGTGTTCTGTACACGGCGCCTTGTACGTGAACTGAGCTTCCTCTAAGCACAGTAAGCGACAGACAGATCAGCCACTTTGCATCTTGGTAAAGCTCGTATTTGGCGACCAATGCATATACCCGTGCAACGTAATCAACAGCTTCGCTCGGAACGCTGACCTCTGAACCAATATACTGGTCGAGATCGAGAGCATCCTTGAGCCACGTACGAAGCCATGTCTGGATACGGCTGAATTGCTTAACGTCTTTCAATGCGTCTGTTGACAGCTCGTTGAAAGCGTCCAACGACCCTAGCAGCAACGCCATGTCCTCGCTTCCAAGGCATTGCTTCAAAAGTTCGACGTAACGTTCGATATGAAGCAGAGAGTTTTGCTTTTGGACCATCGACGTCGCTCGGAGGATCGAGAGTCTCGCTAGCGAGCATTTGCTCGTAGCTTTAGCCACAGATAAAGATTTTCCGGCGTAGTCGATGAAAAACTCTTTATTTTGCGCTTGTGACTGGTTCGGAATGATATGTCCAAGGGTTCTTTGCACAAGCTCTCGTAGCAGTTGCAGCGCGGAGTCTGTTTCGAGTTGTTGGCTATGCAGCTGTTCTGCGATGCTAAAGATGACGTCTGCATCCGTAGAGACCTTGGCTGTTGCATTTGGAACTTGCTGGAGGTGTGCCATGATGCTCAGTACTATCATCGTACTCGTCTGCCCAAGGTCCAGAAGTTCGGCTGTGCGGTCCAAAATTGCTTGTCTCTGCTCACGGGACAAAGCAGCAGGGTGGATATGAAGTATCGCCTCACCAGCCACAGCGTGCATCCTTATTCCAGCTCCTTGCCCAAGTGCTTCCAGAAGGGCTACACAGTATGCATTCTGTATGACGGAGTTTCCCTCCTCGATGATTGATTGAGAAAGTGACCGACAGACAAGATCACTAGTGACGCCGTCAAACTGTGGAAGCTTTGATAATATGGCAGAAAGAGATTGGCGGCACGCGTCAATCTCCACGTGCTCAAGGAGATTGACGGAGTAGGCACAGAAGATTTCGATCATCGACCGCTGTCCTTCGGTGTCTAGCTGACTGGAAGAGAAACAGTCCATGACTCTGGCTAAGCCACTGCGGATGACAATCTTGGAACCAGGGAGTGTCTGCAGGCGATCACATGTGTTGAGCCAGAATAGTACTGCAGCTGCTCGTATGGTTGGATCTGCGCCCCGTCCAGCGTCGTTGGATGTCGTCGACATAACTTCTATAGCTTGTTCCAGCAGCGGGTAAAGCAATTCCTGTTGCAACTGTGAAGAGGCGTGAAGTTCGATGGGCCACAGTTTCGCCAGCAATTGGCACAGTGTGAACCAAGATAGATGGGACTGTGTGTACAAGCTGTAGTGACGCTCTTGGACCCACGAAGCGTAGGTGAGAAATAGAGCACGAAGGTCGGCTTTTAGTGCTGCAATGTTGTTTTCAGACTTGATAGCTTGAAGGAAAGCTGGAAGCAAGATAGCACTACTCGCGGCGTTCTTGTACGCAGCGAGTTTCTTGACTTTGACACTCTCCTTGGTGGCAGTCTCGATCGCACCAGCGAGCTGTGCCAGGCGCTCCCCGTGCTCCTGAATCACTGTAGTTATCTGGCCTTGGGTTAATGATGACTCGAAAGATTCAGCCAAAGTATTCCACAAAGCACGATCTTCCCACACGATGTCCTGTCGCCCTTCAAGAGTCTTGCGCTTGCCGTGTCTAAAGCTCTTGACTAGTTGGTCATCCCATCTTCGGACAAAGCCTAGCAGGTTACGGTTCCGCACGAAAGCCAGCATCAATGGGTTGATGATTCGCTCCAAGATTGCGGATCTTCCCAGCTGAGCATCACTTCCGTCATCAGAGAAGCCTGAGCCCTCTAATTCTGTAGCTGATATTTTCTCAAAGACAAACTCGGCAAGATCTGTGTGGTCTTGCGAGCCTCTCGCTCCAACTTTGGACTCTACAGCAAATACTGACGAATCAAGCTCAATCAAGGATGCGATCAGCGACCAATGCACCTGCTTCTCTTGACGTTCGGGATATTTCACCCCGCAATGGTACCAGAAGATGTTCTTGATGAGGTCCGAAGAAAGGCTTACTTCATGTACCTGCAGAATACGAATAGCGCCACTGAGAGCAGCGACGGCGGTTGGCCGTGTGATATACTCGGGTGGAGTGACCAGCGAGCATCCAGCGCACTCTGCAAGCGCGGAGAAGACAGCCTGTAGCCAGGGCTTTTCCACAGCTCTGCTCTTGGGTGTCCGCGACGGAGAAGCGCGAATGGCTAGATCTAGCACATGAGGTACTGTGTCGAAGAGCAGCGCGAGTTCTGCAGGTAGAGCATCTCCACCATCTTCGATCTGCGCTGCCTGAAGAAGCTTTGCGCGGAGCGGCTCCAGGTTACTTGCAAGAACCGTCGCATCCCGTGTCTTCAGTCCAGCGCTTGTAGAGTTTGCACCGATACTGGCAGAGGGTGCGGCGGTTTCGGCATCGTTGAAGAAAGCAGCTCTTGAAGGCGCAAGCAAATGTCTCGCCAACAGCTTGTCGAGCACTGCAATCGCGCGGTCCAGGGTACGTTGGGAAACCTGCGTCGTGTCTCTGCTGCGCAGGGACTTGAGATGTTCCAAGAGTAGCAAAGTCGGTACTAGGCACTCTGTGTTGAATTCTTCAGCGGAGGCTCCGGACTCGTCTTTGGTCTCCACAGCGCGCAAATCCCACATCTCAAGCGCAAGTGACAATTGGAGATGCTCGTCCAGAGGGGTATCATCGGAAGCGCGAGAGCGAGCTGCGCACAATATTCGGACACCAGAAAGCCAGAATCTGAGGATGCGCGAAGCCTGGGTACTTTCTGTCCTCAAGACCATCTTCATGAGCTCAGCCTGAGTGACGTCGTCGGACTTATCACTCCCAGCCAGGTGCGCGATTGAATCAACTGCTGCCCTGACCACGCGGAAAAGATGGCCAAGATCGACAGGACCAAGTGCGGCCGATGTCGAAGGTGATGCCTCAGCTGTGCCGCGTTTTCGTTTCTTGGATGGCTTGGTTCCTTCTCGGATAGTCGCACTTGATTCCGAGTCGTCCTTCATGTCGACATCTTCCGAAGTGGCTGCGGGTTGTAGGGTCGAGTCTGTGTCGAAGTTCTCCACGAGCGTTCTCTCCAATATGCTGGGGAAGCTGGCGTCTCGTAGATGTGGCGCACTACGAGATACAGGCAGAACGTGTATCATCCAGTCTAGAAGCTGCCATGCGCTGACGTTTGCTCGCGCCGCCCGCCCAGTTTCCGTCTCATCTTTTAACTTGTCGAGAATCCAGCGCAGGACCCATTCCGCCCTTGCGCGCACAAGTCTTTGTATGATATCTGATCGGACCTCCTGGTCTTGTATCGTACTCCAGTCGTCAGGAAGGCCTATGATATGCGCAGCTTGGCGAATCTGCTCGTCCAGGTCGGAGAAGTCCTGGTTGATGGCTTGCAGTCGCGGCCGGGTGGACGCAGGATCATTCTGCGAGGCCTTCAACCGTGTCAGCGCTTTCTCAAACTCGGAACACCGAACACACTTACTGGCTTGCTTGGCGCCATCTTGTCACCTCTTTCCCCGTTTGTGGATGCAGAGACCTTGAGAAGATCGCGCAGCCCTGGTATGCGGAAAAAGTTTGGGCACGGACCAGGCCATCCTGGTCGTTCCTGCCAAGGGCCGGCGACGTCAAAGTTCCGCTTGCAGCTCCGCCCAGAGACGCTCAACACCACGTCGAACCGCTGTCCATCACTCCAAGCACACCGAGTGCGCCGTTGAACCCATCAATTGCCCTCGAACACATACACACACCATGGCCGACAACACCCCCCAGCCCGTTGCCTCCATCCCGCGCACCACACGTCCCATGAGCGAAGCTCTCCTCAACGAAAAGGTACGGCCCAGGACATAGTGATAGAGGCACACGGCACACCGTTTTACGGCTTGAGAGAGAGGGATCGGAATGTGGTAGAGGCGAATTGGGCGGTCAATGGCAATCTTGGCCCGTCTCACGCGACTTCTGCCCACTTTAGTCGACTCCTGCCCACTCTCAAGCCGATTCTATACGGAGATAAGAGCACTGGACATCACCGGACAGTAATGCTAACATGTTTGCCTAGTGGGACCGCTGCCTCTCCTCTATGCTCATCCGCTCCGGCCTCGGTCTATCATTCGGTGTTGTCTTCTCCGTACTCCTCTTCAAGCGTCGCGCGTGGCCCGCATTCGTCGGTCTCGGTTTCGGTGCCGGAAGGGCATGGGAAGAGTGCGACAACGTGAGAACCCCCCCTACAGAGACAAATGTTCAGAATGTCAAATGCTAACATATAGAACAGTCATTCAAGCGCGCAGCATCACCCCCAAAAGACGGCCTTCGTGTTATCCGACCATAAGCCATCCATCCCACACGAACGACGAGACGGGACAGAACTATTCTATGTAATTCGAGCTTTGCATGCGAAATATGCATTGTACAGTAGGGCATGGTATAGATCATTCTGGCAATCGAGTGCTGTACATTCTTCACGATTCTTTAAACCTATGTTACAGTTGTTATGTTCACTCTAGCATGTGCTTTCTCTATCCTCATACCCATACCCTCCGATCATTGCCCCATGTTCTCTTACGCCTCTTCGCTCTCTGAGTATCCTCGAATACCGTGACTGGCGTTACGCACCTTTCCCACATCCAAAATCGTTTTCTCAGCCTTTATAGTCCTCAAACCCATATTCCTCTGCCCCATCCTTGATGATAAGCTGGTAGGTACTAAACACGATACTCTCATACAACTCCCGTCCTGCGGCTCTTGCCTTCTTATGCCAGGGACCGAGACCGCCTTTGTACGCGTCTTCCCTACTATGCCAGAAGCCTGTTCAGATCGTCAGTCTCAGTTCATTAGATAGCACCTCACGAGGATGCATGACTGAAAAGAAAGAGAGAAAGCAGACACAACGTACAAGTAGCCAGATTCCTCCTCTCCTCGTCCCCTTTCCCGAACCAATACTTCAATAGCCCTCCACTCTCACACGCCTCACGATGACTCTCCTCATCAAGTCGGTACAGCCATTCTTGATCAATGTCCTCTTTGAGCTGCGAACGGAAGACAACGACGTAGAATGACGTTTCTTTCCATTCGTACTTTTCCTGCGCAATGAGGGTACGCAGAAGGGCTAGTACGACAGAGAAATTCAGGGCGAGAGGGTACGGCGCAGTTGCGTAGGTTGGGGTAGCCGGTTTGAGCGCTGTCAGGGCTAGTGCGAGAAGACGGGAGGGTATGGTTAGGTGAGGGGAGGAGAGGTCGAGATAGTGGTTGGGGATATTGTATGGGGAGGAAATCAGGAGTGTGGAGAGTGTTTCGGGGTCTTGATTTGGGGTCGAACGTTTGGAAGTATCATCTGCAGTTTGGTAGAGCTGTGGGTTGTGGAAGACGAGTTGGTCATGTGCTGCGGCTTCGAAACGCAGTTTGTCGAATTCGGACGTTATGCTTTCCGGATTGAGGAGTTGAACGCTGTGAACGTGTAACGACACGTCCGATTGTGATGCTGTAGGTGGCAGTTCATCGTCGTTGGCGGTGGAGGCCTCGGGCGGTGACAGGGGAGTTTTGACGATGATGCGATGACCATGAGCTTGTATCATCGTGGTCGTGCCTCCGACAGCCATAGCTCGGGTGAGTTTCTCAGATGTAACTGGAAGGGTCTTCTTTATGTAGTTGTTCGGTACCGATTTGTCGCACTGGGCAAGCTTGATAAAGTATTCTTCTCCGCTCTTGGAATGATATTTCGCGAACACTCAATGGTAAGTATCACCTACAATAGGTCTAATTGACGGCAGTGTGTGATTATGAAAAAGCTTTTAGGTGTTCAATTCAGGCGTGGTGAGCACGCGATGTCGCAAGCTTGAAGTTGCGGTGACTGATGGGTGACCTTTCGCTACAAGCACGTCGGATCACGCAATCTGACGAATGTCGTGCTAGACCCCTCATGATCAACACTCGCAAACAGTTGGAGTTCTCCAAGGGAAGTAGCAGTCGCAAGTTCACATGCGGCGTATGACATGGCTGATTGGTCCGAGGCCCGGTTACGTACAATACGATGCATACCCCAGTTCTACCTGCAGTGAGCAATGATCCTCGCAACGAATGAAAAAGATTGAAACCCGCAAATACGCATGATATCTATTGAACTCAATCGATCCATTTACCTCGGAGTTTGACGCCAATTGCAGATGCAAGAGATGGTCGAGATGTAATGCCTGCCTACTTTCGAGCTTCGTGCAAGATCCTTCGTCTCAACGTAAATCTCAACCTCTCGTATGTCTCAATGTCTTCTCAGAAAAAACTCCAGAAAGAAGGAAAGAAGGAGGAAAGGGTATCATATGGAAAAGGAATTCGCAGAGCGAACTTGCATACCGAAGTGTGGCAAAGAGGAAACTCAGTCCTGAATCTTCGTTTGGGAGAGCTTGAACATGCGTTGATAGCCGTACGGATTCTCGGCTGATATAGGCACCTCGGCGCCATACTCTTCGATGCAAGCATCGAAAGGCTTGTTCGTTAGGCGATTGTCTCCCGGCGGTAGGGGAAGGTCAGTTGCTCGATCTCTCAGCTCTGTTTTGAGCTCCATGAGGTTACCCCATAAGATGAAGAGCTTCTCCTCGAGTTGGTTGAGAGCGGTGGGCTTGTTTATGATACTATAAGCGTATTAGCAGACGTCCAAGCCATCATGAAGCGTGTCATCTTACTCTTTAGCACTCATCCCCAGGAGGAACATCGCCGCATCGTTGTTCACGACCACGCGCAACTTCTCGGATACTGTATCGCGGGGTATGCTTGCATCTTCGAGCAGGAGAACAAACCCCCATTCCCAGATTTCTTTCGTTGGACCGTCAGCGGCTCTTTGGTTCTTAGATTGCCCTCTCCACTTTCTATCGCTCTTGGAGTGTGCGAACAGCTTGAGCTCGGGAGGATAAACATCTACTACACGGACGCGAGATCGATGTTTGCAGTTGATGAAAGGGAGCTTATAACTATGGTGCTTTTCTGGGGTCTGAACCTCGAGGTGATGGTTGTATATGATCTCGGAGATGGTGGAGGGTTTTATGTCAGGATAAGCAGCGATGACTGAAGGAGCTTAGTATATAGGATGACGGATAAGAAGGTATCTTACCATTGGGATTGACCCCGCCACGAGTCCTCTCCAACTCTTGTTGTTTCTTCTCCAGTTCGTCTTGCTCGGCCTGTTTCAGTACTCGTTGCCTTTCTCTTTTCGCCTGTCTCTTTTCTTTCGAAGTTTTGCCTAGGGTATTCTTGGGTTCGTTCTGCATAGCCTGGAACGCCGTCTTGTTCCCACGTTTTTGCTCGTACTCTTCTCGGCGTTTGTCAATCTCCTCTATGTCGGTCGTGTTCCCCATGTGACGTATGTCGACCTTTGATGGGTTCCGGCGGTCTTCATGTATCGCGCCCTCGAGGGAACCCCTACTGGACGTCTTAACTCGCATATTTCTCATAAAGACATAGTCGCCATTAGCAAGGTTTTCCGATGCCCAGGTCGCGTTCGCTCCGTAGAGGGTGACATTCAAAGTCAGAAAGCCATATGGCCCTTTCCAGTCCCTATCTGATGCGAAGTGGCTCTGCTCCTGTTCTGGATCTGCATAGTTGTACATTTGCTCATTCGGAGTGTAGTCGGTTACTTTCAGGTCAACTTGGCCTCCCATCTGATAGTAGTAAATGTTGACAACCTGGGCACGGACATCATAGTAATTATTAAATTGTAAGTCCTTGATCAAGCTGACTGATCTTCTTGTCCTGGCCTTCGACGTATTAACCACCACATGCTGCTGCACTTGTTGCGCTGCGCCAGTAGAAGCATTCTTCATATGGATGACAGCCATCTGCTCTGGGATCGTAGGCGGTGGGCCTCCAGTCAAGGCGTGAGGCAGTTTCTGACTGCCGGCCTGGAAAGGGTGGCTCAGGCCTGGGACCGGAATCCTGCTGCTAGGAAAAACGAGCATGTTGGTGTCGTACATGTCCCGACCAACGGCCTCCTTACGAAGATTGAATTCCTGGATTTTAAACCCGCGGAGCATGACAACATCGCCAACCCCAGAGATTGGAGGGAATTTGTTCTCAGCGCGTCTGAACAAGCGGCAACGGATGCTTGACTGATCACCAACATCACCGGACGCAAAGTCATCTTGGATGGTGAAGTCGAGGGCCCAGGAAGTGCCTCTAGTTGACTTTGGCGGATCGTAGTTGACAAGAACGCCGATCAGGTTGACACTGTCAGTAGGGTAGGTGGCGTCTTTGATGGCTGTGAAGCCTTTGGGCAGCTCCAGCGGCATTGCAACTGGAGATGGCCGAAAGCGGTTAGCGCAGTCTGCAAGGCCGTCAAAGAAGTGGGAGCAATTGCAGGGGGAGGCAAATGGCTTGAGCTAGGCCTTTGTCTGTAGTGTTTGGCCTCTGAGACAGGCGGGCAGGTGTGACAAACATATGCAGGGCGAGGGGGTACATGTCTGCGCCAGCGCGACGCGTCGTGATGGTGGTTGCTTAGGTAGAGCGCTCGAGCCAAGCTACTAGCGCCGATACCCGCTTCGCCGCTTCCGCTTTCAAAATCACCCCTCTGGTTGGAAAGTTTACTCCCTTTTACAAACAAACACGCCGCACCAAATCTTGCCCGACTCAGCACACTGCAAATCCAGAGAGTCGCAGAAATGGCCGACAAGTACATCCCCGAGCACCGTCGCACGACGTTCAAGGCAAAGAGCGCCTTCAAGCCAGATGAACTCCGCCGCCGCCGTGAAGAGCAACAGGTCGAGATCCGCCGGGCGAAGCGTGAGGAGAACCTCGCAAAGCGCCGTGGCATTGCTGGCCGTGACCAGCCCGGTGCCTCGCTCGGTGCTGCCCCCGACAGCGACGATGAGGGCGGCAACATCGAGAGCCAGGTACGTTCCTACTGTACCCCACTATTTCTGAATGCAGGCGTATAGAGAGCAACAGAGCACACCAGGCTGACACACCCGCACAGCTCAACGAGGAGCTCCCGCAGATGGTAAAGGGCGTCTTTTCAGAACAGATCGATGAGCAGATCCAGGCGACAACCAAGTTCAGGAAGCTGCTCTCCAAGGAGCGCAACCCCCCCATCGAGCGCGTTATCGAGACTGGTGTCGTGAGCCGCTTCGTCGAGTTCCTGCGCTCCCCGCACACGCTGGTGCAGTTCGAGGCCGCCTGGGCCCTCACCAACATCGCGTCGGGTTCGGCGCAACAGACACAGGTCGTCATTGAGGCGGGCGCCGTGCCCATCTTCGTCGAGTTGCTCAGCAGCCACGAGCCAGATGTTCGGGAGCAGGCCGTCTGGGCTCTGGGTAACATCGCCGGTGACAGCCCCGCATGCCGCGACTTTGTGCTGCAGGCCGGTGCTCTCCGCCCGCTGCTTGCGCTCTTGGGCGACAGCCGCAAGCTCAGCATGCTCCGCAATGCTACATGGACCCTGAGCAACTTCTGCCGCGGCAAGACCCCCCAGCCCGACTGGCAGACTGTGAGTTCTCTTTACAGCCCCACTTAAGTCGAAATACTAATTATCCAGCAGATCCAGCCTGCCCTCCCCGTGCTCGCCAAGCTCGTATACTCGCTCGACGACGAAGTCCTCATCGACGCCTGCTGGGCCATCTCCTACCTTTCCGATGGCTCCAACGACAAGATCCAGGCCGTCATTGAGGCTGGCATCCCCCGCCGTCTTGTAGAGCTGCTCATGCACGCGTCCACCTCCGTCCAGACCCCCGCCCTGCGCTCTGTCGGTAACATCGTGACTGGTGACGACGTCCAGACCCAGGTCATCATCAACTGCGGCTCGCTCCCTGCACTGCTTTCGTTGTTGAGCTCCACCAAGGACGGAATCCGCAAGGAGGCGTGCTGGACCATCTCCAACATCACCGCCGGCAACTCCACCCAGATCCAGGCTGTCATCGATGCTAACATCATCCCTCCTCTGATCCACCTCCTCCAGAACGGCGACTTCAAGACGCGCAAGGAGGCCTGCTGGGCCATCTCCAACGCCACGAGCGGTGGTCTGCAGAAGCCTGCTCAGATCCGCTACCTCGTCCAGAGCGGCTGCATCAAGCCTCTCTGCGATCTTCTGGCCTGCCCTGACAACAAGATCATCCAGGTTGCCCTTGACGGTCTTGAGAACATCCTCAAGGTCGGCGAGATGGACAAGGAGGCCAGCGAGGGCGGTGCTGGTGGCGAGCCCATCAACCGCTACGCTCTCTTCATCGAGGAGGTCGGCGGCATGGAGAAGATCCACGAGTGCCAGAACAACGCCAACGAGGAGATCTACATGAAGGCCTACAACATCATCGAGAAGTACTTTTCCGACGAGGAGGGTGAGGCTGAGAACATGGGCGAGGCCGGACCTCAGGTCAACCAGGAGGGTCACTTCGGTTTCGGCGCCGCTGGTCAGCAGCAACAACAAAACTTCAACTTTGCCAACGGAGGTGACTCCATGGACATGTAAACGGGACAAGATCCGTGACGAGTCCAAAGTTGAATGTTGCATTGCTTGCAGTGCAGCCCTTCTACCACGCTAGCCAGCCACGAGAGCCCGACTAGTAGTGTTTGCGGTATCCTGGATGAAGTCGGAGATCATACACGATATGATACATGATCCACGGAAGCGCTATGATTGCGAGGACCTTTGTGTTTCCTTGGCAATACCCCCATCCTTTCCAGCTATCACTTCGCCATGATTTAAATGAAGCCTTAAAGATACACCGTCTTGTACCCCTCCCATGTTCATTAACCGCATCATATCCCCGGCGTTGCGTGTTTGCCTAGCTGTCTGAAGATCGCAATGGTTTGGACTGGGCGGTCTGCTCTGGATGGAGCTCTACACATTGGGTGGAAGAGTGACATGCGCTCGCAGTTCAGCCGCGCCAGACAGATAGCTGAATATAACGCCGAGCAATCGGTCTACAACACAATCTATCGCGATGATGAAGATTCATGTGATTGTGAACGAGCATCACCACTACCGTGCTTGAATGTAGAACAGTTGTTACTTCAGACACCGCCAGCAAATCAACGTCTTGTCATAACTAATCAAAGCAAGGTCCAATCCTAAGTGATTGTAATCGGGTCATCACGAGACGAGCGCGAACCCAGGAAGTCGTGAACTAAACGGAGCTAGCTGGGAAAGTAAGTGCGTCATCCGCGGAACCCTGAACACCCCCGCCGGCATACCTCCGCGAACCACGCGTGGGGTTAGTTGTTTCTGCGCTCGGTTCGCGATAGCATGTCGCGTGCCATTCATAATGGCTTCTGTCTATCTGTCTGCGCGTGTCGACCGTGTTTCTGCACAACTTGCACAACCCAATGATGTCTCAAGCAATGCCCTGGACCGATGGCGCAATCATCGCGAACACACCGCCGCGCCGACCTCGCAGCCAACTCACCAGCATCTTCACAACTCCTAACAGTCATATCACAATCGCTAATTCTGCATGATACCGTTGTACTGAACGTCGAATATACAACAACACCCACCCATCATGTGTAGATTCATGGTAAGTATGGCATCTTACACCCGCCGCGCTACAGCTAACAACCAAAGGTCTACAAAGGCAAGGATGAGATACTCCTCTCAGAGCTCATTCTAAACCCCTCCCATTCCATCCTCACACAGTCCTTCGACTCGCGCCTCCGTCTAGTACGTCTCTTCCCACGAACCCACATCTCCCCTACTAACGCACTCATCACCAGGACAGGCGCCGCCCGCACAACGGCGACGGCTTCGGCATCGGCTACTACACGTCGCCCTCCCTGGGCCTCACGCCCTGTGTCTTCACCTCCACGATTCCAGCATGGAACTGCATAAACCTCTCGCGCATCGCCTCCAAAACCACATCCTCACTCATCTTCGCCCACGTGCGCGCCACAACTGAAGGCAACCTCAGCGACAGCAACTGCCATCCGTTCTCCTACAAGTCCCTCATGTTCATGCACAATGGCGGCATCGGCTGCTGGAAACAAATCAAACGCCGGCTTGCTATGGGCCTGGATGAGAAGTGGTTCAATGTTGTGGGTGGTTCAACAGACAGTGAGTGGGCGTTTGCTACATTCTTGGATTGTTTAGATAAAGCGGGAATAAGCCCGGACAAAGAGGTGGAGGCTGGTGTGGGCTTTGGACATACGGTATTGAGGAAAGCGATACTGAAGACGATTGAACGGCTCAACGGGTTCATCAGGGATGTTGTTGGGGAACAAGGGGGTGGGGTTGGGGAGGAAGATAGTAGGAGTCTGCTCAACTTTGCTGTCACAGACGGTGTTAGTGTTGTGTGCTCGCGGTATGTGAGTAGCAAGACGGATGAGGCGGCGAGCTTGTTCTTTAGCAGTGGGACGAGTTGGAGGGAACTCAATGGCCAGTCGGTGGGCTCGGATGCTGGTGCGAGTTCTGTGGATGATGAGGATAGGGAGAGGGACTATGTTATGGAACGCAGGGATAAGGGAAGTGATATTGTGCTGGTGGCTAGCGAGCCGTTGACGTTTGAACGGGGTATGTTACTTTTTGTACCTTTTCCTCTCGACTGAACTAACAATGACAGATAACTGGGTCACGGTTCCAACAAACAGTACGCTCACTATCTCCAAGCAAACTGTTATGATTCATCCTATCGTCGATGAGTTCTATAGCCCCAATCCGGCGCATGAGCGCAGTGCGAACTTTGCGCAGGCGAAAGGGCAGACGGTTACGGGGAGTGATAAGAGGGTCTTAGGAGGTGTGGGAGAGGTATCTTAGGTACGATTTCATGCTTGTGGAAGTGACTACACAATGTGATGCTATCACAGCATATACTGGTGCTTGTTGAGATTTGCCCTCTCTGAATTGCTTATCGGTGACTTGTGATTAGTTTGAATAGCCTGACCACCGGCGGTACTCACGGCTCCCAGATTTGGGCTATCGTTACAGAAACCTGGGGTTTGCTATCCATGCTATTATACGTTCCTTATATGTTCGCTTAGTTTCACAATGTGGCGGTAGCACAGGGCGCAGCAAGTTGACGAATGGATGGAGCCTTGTAGGCGCCAACCAACCAGATGGAGGAAGTGGGGTGCTGTTCTTGCTCAGCCTACCATCTGTCATGTGATGTCCAGTATTTATGATAATCACAAATTGCGATGCCATACTTTGATCACACACTGGTCTACGCGCGCTGTAGATTCAAGAACATCGTTCATCTTCACCATGGCTTCGACTAGTACTAACGAGTTGTGCGAAGCATGCCAGAGCCTCTTTTTGAAAATTGGCTCCTCCATCGGCAGATTAGCTGACTTTTCTCGTTACGATACGCATGCTAGCTTTTCTCATCACCATACGTTCAAATCGCTCGAAGAAAGTTGCAAGAATGGTTGCGGCATATGCACAGAACTTATGCGTTCCCTGAAAAACACCTGGGCCAGCCCATGTAAACCGCCGCAACGGCCGGAGTGGGAAAGGAAGTTGAAACCCTTGAGTTGGTTAGATTGGTTCGAGAAGTTCTTTCCAACCACATGTCGAGTCGATAAGTTCTCAGCGAGTTGGCAAAATTCCTTAGAGTTGACTTTCAAAAGCCACAACGACGGGTACATCGAGTCCCAGAAGTACGGCTATGGCTTCAAGGTCAAAGGCAGTGGCTATGGCTTCAATATGCGTTTTATCCTCGAGGTCGCCGAGGATTCCAATGGTCAGTGGGTACTATATTACTGATCCTTTTAAACATCACTCACGAATTAGTGAAGGTAACCTAGTCGAATATACGCCCTCTTCGTCTACAGACTCACCCCAAAGCTGGGATCTGATACGTCGCTGGTTGAGCCAATGCACTCAAGATCATGGCCGATGTAATTTGGCAAGCCCGCAATCTTGGGCTCCAACACGTTTACTTGATGTCGGTACGTTCGAAGACGATTTGGTACGACTGTTAGATCGTGCCGAAACACTTCCTCTATCCAATAAGCCTTACGCCACGCTTTCTCACTGCTGGGGTACGACGCCACTCATCAGAACGACTCAATCCAACATACTGGAGCATCGTCGTGAAATACGTCATCATTACCTACCGCCGACTTTCAAGGATGCAATTAAAATTGCTAGAACTCTCTCCATACGCTACCTGTGGATAGACTCTTTGTGTATCATTCAGGATGATACGCATGATTGGGAGCAGGAGGCTGATTTGATGAGTAAGGTTTATATGTATTCCTTCATCAATATAGCTGCCACTGCATCGGACAGTAGCACTGGAGGCTGCTTTCGGCAAAGAGATGGACGAACTGTATTACCTACAGAAGTCTACATTCAGATGCACGACAGTGGGCGTGATAATGATGGAAAACCGGCGAAAGTCAAGTATCGTTTGGTATTACACAAGGACTTGTGGACCGAGAAACTCGCGGATGAGCCGCTGAATCAGCGCTGCTGGATATTACAGGAGCGCATACTTTCGCCGCGCGTTCTTCATTTTGGACATGAACAGCTCTTTTGGGAATGCCGAGAGTTTGTTGCATGCGAGACTTATCATCAAGGTCTACCTGCCAGTTTGCGAAACCATCCATATATCAACATCAAACGACTACAGCTTGGAGACGAACCCAAAGACGACCGATGGCCTACGAAGTATGTCTCAAAAGCCTCTCAGGACATCTCAAATGTCCAGAGTCTTTGGGATAAATTCACATCGATCTTCCGACCTGTTGTTATTCATGAAACAACACTGTACGCTGGCTTGAACGACACGTCCGTCTATCAAGATTGGTACTCGGTTGTTGAGTTCTACTCCATGGGCAACTTGACTTTCCCAAATGACAAGCTTACAGCTTTGTCGGGTATTGCACAGACAATCGTTGCCATTGAATCTAGTAAACTTGGTGATGGCTATCTTGCAGGCTTATGGCAGTCGTCACTACCCGCCTCTCTCCTCTGGCAACCGATATATACCTATGTGCCGAAGGAAATCGGCACTCTTCACTTGATAAAACGTATACCTCACTATTACTGCCTGTGGAATCGATTCCCGGACACCTGCCAGCGACTGGAGCGGGACCCCTCGTACTGCGGCGTCTGTGAATCTGACAAAAATGTGCATCCCGCACGCAGATATGTCGATTACATCGCACCGACATGGTCCTGGGCCTCGATCGATGGCCGGGTCTCGTTCGCAGCGTGCCGGGTCAACTACAGACCTGAAGACTACTTAACGACAGTTGAAGATGCAAGTGTATCTTGTCACGGCAACTATCGTTTCGGCCGGATATCGTCAGGGTTTGTAAAGCTCTCCGGGCCAGTTGCGTCAGTTTCATGGCTTATTGGTCGCTACGCGGATTCAAAGCCTCGCCCTTCCTACGGAGAGCCAATGACGATAAAAGGTATATTTCCACCTCATCTTACTCACCACGCGGCTATCGATACGTATGACATAAGTGGTTACGACAAAGAAGAGATCATACTTGACATACCCATGGAAGACATACCAAGAGAGCTCACGCTTCTATGTATCGTCGAGACTAAAGAAAGCAATGGGCATACCAGCTTGGTCAGGGGGTTGGTAATACAGAAGTCTAGCCTAAGCGAGCACTATGTTCGCATCGGTGTCTTCGTAGTCCGCCGCGAAGAGGTGAGGAAGGTTCTCGTGAACATGCCCAGACGGTCAATTACCATAATATGAAGTGGTTGAGTTATAGTCCCGAGGTTATTATATGCTGTGCATACGCTGTCTCAGAATGCAATTCCTTCTTCGCTATTGAGTATGTTCATTGAGATAGCACCATTGTTTCTGCAGAACCTACCACTTGCCGGATACAGAAGCTTTAATGTAGGGGCGGGTCACGTGGCGACGTGGCGACGGCATCGCCGTGATGAGCAGACTAAGCTAAACTGACGTTGCGTAAGATCGACACGACCATTCCCATCGAGGGGTTGATAACGTTGCATTCAGGGGTCTGTCTACGCTGTCGCGTGTTTGACTATGAGCCGCTGTTCCTGCTTGGAAGCTGCGGGTGTCAATCTCAGATTCGCTAAATGCAGATCTCTTCGCAACAACGGCGTCTCCGAAGACGAGGAAGGTGTTCGCGGAGGCGTACTCGATCTACGCAAGGATCAGAGAATACTAGCTTGTCGGTTTCAGCATATGTGGTGTAGCTGCTGGAAGCCTGATGTCACCAGAATATCGGACGCCTGGTGGAAGTAATATCAACCGCAGCCAATAGAATATGAAATCAGTGGTCAGAAAGCGATTATCTTGTATCAACTTCTGACGCCGCAACTACATGTAATTGCATCTCAGTAGCTTCAAGAGCGGTATTCCATACGATCGGCATCTTCCAGGTCCTGTCCAAAACATCCAGCTGACCAGCAACTAACCTCGCCGTAACTCGACGCACACTCGCTACCGGGAACCTGTTTTTGAGGTTTGCCCAGCTTTTGAGGATACAAGTGTTGTTGTGGGGATCGCGCGAGGTACTCGAGATCGCGAGTTTTCCACGAATGGCGGCTTGTGGCGTGAGGAATACCCTTAAGTTTCGACAGCCACATGTCCTGTACGACTTCCGAAATCTCTTTTGGCGAAGACCTGGACATATCGATAGCGACTGATCAGCTTCGCGTAGCAGCCGCCTCTTACGTGGTGTGACTTCCGCTGCCGCCGAGAATCGTGAGAATGGTAACTGCCCCGCAAAAAGCAGATACCCGGCGAGCGTTTCCTTGATCATGATGATGGCAGTCCAGGTTTCTATTTCGCTGCAAACGTGGTTCTTTGTTTAGCTTCCCCTCTTACATGTGCTTGAGTTGCTTCCGGACGTATCATGAGTGCTTGCCTTTCGGTTGGCGTTCCTGCAGAAGCTGAAACGGATCCATCACGGGGCGCCTTACTCACCGACCACACCTCAGTCCAACGCCCGTAATGGCGCAACTGCATCCATCCAAGTGGCGGACCCTACTACCGCGCGAAAGCCTAGCCAAAGGAGCTCAGCCAGCTCGCCGTTGTCCCTTCGCGCAGGATCAGATCTCGGGTCATCCCTGCCGATTAGCTCAATGAACCAGTGGCTAACGCCACGAAACGACGCCACCATTACGGACTCAGCTGAACATACCCCCGCCAAGCATCAAGGACACTGGCTGTCGTGCTGAAGCCGGGCACCAAACCATGCGTGCCCCAGCAAGACTCGTACTGTATGCCTTGCACAGGCGCGATTCGTCGCAGCTGAACATGACCAGTTTGTTGCCTTTTGCTTGATTTGCGCATCGTGGGCTTACGCTTCACTTTGCCCACCAGCCTTCGTCACCAGGTCTACGCCGAGCTAGCTCGCCGATTGCCTCAATGTTTCAACGGTATCTGGGCTTGCTGATGTCGCCGTCGAAGCATATACGCAAATCAGGATGGCGCAGTTCCGTAGAGATCGGACGCAGGAACCGAACCTGACTCTCACATGCGGATATCCTTATTTATACGTTGACCCCGGTGCTAATCCTACAAGAACGAGACAATAACCGTACCCGAGTATTATTAGCTGGATACTATCGAACGGAGGATCCGGACCCTAGTGCTTATGCTAACAGTCCTTCCGCTTTTACTTCAAGTAAGTTGTATGAAAGCGGTTGTATTCCCGTCTTCTCAACTGACCGAGTAGCTAGTTCATCTAGGACCTGCATCATCCCACGCGATTGACAGTCAGAGTGGACCCCAGCAAGCCATACCTGCCACCCATCGGCGTCATTTCTGAACTCATGCCTCCACTTTTCAAACCTTCAAGTCTTGCCAGTAC